GAGAAGTAATTAAGCTAGGGCTTCACATACTTTTTCCTCCCTGCACTGTGAATGTTTACATGTTATGTGCAATTAAACCATGGCAACATCTAATGTTTGTGTAGTATTATGTTCAGCAGACTGTGTTCTACTATTGTTGTGACTTAGATGATGTTCAGAGCACATTTTATGCCCAATTCATGCAAAACTCCACGTAATCCCAAGGGGTTCACATACTTTTTCTTGCAACTGTAGGTGTCTGAACACATTTTGCTAAGTATGAAATGCGATCCTGAAACTGCCAATTTACTATACCATTTTGTGGTTCTTAAACTCAATTCACAGATGAAAATAATACAAAAATGCAGAGATGGAAATAATTAAAAAAAGCACGTGGTGCAGGCTTGCGGTAATGATAGAAGTGATACCTTTGGTCATCACACACACTGAGTGGGAAGGGTGTGTAAATGTTTGAAAAAGGGTGCCAATTCACAATCTAATGAGCATTTGGCTAGTCAAACCTAATTTGCCAGCTGTGCTTTGCAATGCTCTTGCATCCCCAATGGAGCTTTTTTGAGGCAAAGTTGTGAGAGTTTCAGGCCATTCTATGGAGGGCCAAGAGAAGAAGGGTGGTTGTCATGCGTCCACATTGTTTTAAGCAGCACACCTTGCTGGAGGATTTCCTTGAAGTAGAAGTGCTCTCTAAATGTTGTCTATCTAAGGACCTGATTATGCTCCTCTTTGTGGAACCTTTTCTGCAGTCCACCACACTGCGTACTCATGCCATATCACCCATGACCAAGTTGCTGGCTGTCCTGCACTTTCTGGGAAAGGCCTCCTATCAGATAGTAGTGGAAGAGGTGGTGAGGGTATCCCAGCCTTCTTTCTCTTGCTTGCTAAGACCCTGTAGGGTTTCAAGCAAATTGCCCCAAAATATATCTACCTGCCTAACACATGTCACTAGTGGGATCAGAAAAGAGTGATTTCTATGCAGTAGCTGGGATTCCCAATGTCATGGGTGTCCCAGACTGTACCCATGTGCCTTTTTTGCCCCTCTGTTAAAGAACACATCTACCATAATAGGAAGGTGTGCCACTCACTAAACATACAGGTTGCCTGAGATGCCAATATGTTCATCACAAATAACTTCCCAGGATCTGTCCATGATGTCCACATATTAAGGCAATTACAACCCTACCACCATTTTGACACAGAACTACCGGAGGCTGGCTTCTTGGTAAGACACTTTTTTCAAAAATGTCTTAATGCTTGCCACATACATCATACATGGAAATATGTTCATATGTTATACTCCTGTGCTCACTCCTCATACCTTGCACACAAAATATACACAGCAGTTTGTTAGCCTTGCTTGTCAAAGAAATGGCTAAACCAGATCCTCATCCTGGTGTAACCATCTCCAGCTAAGCCACTTTGCACATGGCCTACGGCCTTCACATTACAATCATATTTAGCAATAAAAATCAAAATGTAGGGAACAAATGTTCCTGTTATGACCCACTTATCATGATATATTATTGTTGTTCCAAAAATGGCATTTTCAAACTGTATTGTAGGTGATTCTGGCTATCCATGTCTAGGGCCAGGGTGGCTGCTAACTCCATTCTTGAGGTGCTCAACATCTGGAGAATCTCGCTACAATGCAGCAATTACTAAGGCAAGACGTGTCATTGAGCAGACCTTTGGGGTTCTTAAAAGCAGGCTCCGCTGTATATCGCTATCTGGTGGTTTTCTGTGCTATAGCTCTAAAAAAGTTGGTTACATGTTTTTGGCCTGCTGCGTCCTTCATAACTTAGCCCATTGTGCAGGGTTGCTCCTGAATATTGAGGTTCAAGACACTGATGAGGACCCAATTGCACCAATCCCTGAATCTTCTCACAGTGAGCATGGCCATCAAGTCCGACAGCGCTTCATACAAAGCTACTTTTCAAGGTATGCATGAAGTCTTACTTTGTAAATCTTACCATGCAGTTTACGCTATTTTTGGTGAAAAGGCTGTGGTTGTTACAAAGGAACACAGGAAAGTGGCCCCATATCAGGCTGTCTGTAACCCTCTTAATTCAACACAAGCTGATCGCTTTAGTAGCTTCTGTTTAAGCTCTGAGCCCTTTGTTGAAAATATGTCACATGTACTGGCAATACATTAGTTTACACAAAGATCTTTGGACACATCATATTAAAAAATTTCGCCACACAAAACCATTCTTGTATGTTTGCTTACAAAAACCTTCCTTAACCGCTTCCACGCCGCCCTATAGCAGAAATACTGCTACAGGGCGGCACGTGTGCGCAAAATCACATATACATACATGATTTGTCAGTTCCGGGTATGGGGCAGGAACGCCCTACCCACACCGCCATTCGTGGCCTTGGCTGTAAATCACCGGGTCCCAGCTGGTGACTTCCCGCCAGTACCTGGCAATCGCCGAGTATTACCGACGGGAGAGAGACCTGTGTATAAACAGCACAGATCTCTCCCCTGTCAGCTCCTGCACACTGCTTTGTATGGCTCTGCAATCTCATCTTTCCTGTGGGTTTTTTTGGTGAATGCATTCCTCAACTACAATAAAATCACAAAGATATACACAGTTACATGGACTAATGTGAAGTATGTTTGGTTGGACAGGAGTCAATACCTTAACAAGAATGCAGTATGTCACTTACTTTGGGAATGAGCCATTCTGAGGTGTTTTTCCTCTTGCTCTTTTCTGCAACAAATCTTTTAGCTGGCTGCAAAGGAAATAAAATGAAGACATTTATTGTTACTTGAAATTCCTTCAAACAACACTAGGTACATATTTGCAGCAAACTAGTTACATAGTACATGTGAGAGCATTTCAAGACATGCATTTTGGGATTGTAAGGAAGCTTTCATGACTTACCTCCATAACATGCTTTCTTGTTCCCCTGTCTTGCTCCTGGCTCAAGTTGAGATGTGTCTGTTGGATGCAATAAAACATGTTATTACCACATTATGAACATTTGCATCTGTAGGTATGAATATTAAAGAAATACTTACATTGGACCACTGATGCAGCAGGTGACTTGGGCTCCATGTTTTTCATATGGTAGAAAAGGAAAACATACAATGCTTGAAAGGAGCAGAGAAACCAACTGAAGCACATTTAAAAACATTTTACAATGGTTGAATTGAAATATAAACTGACAGCAAAGAGACCCCCCCAAAAAAAAGAATACATAAGCATGTATATATGTACATCTGCTGTCGAGAAGTCTGCCTCAGAGTTGGATGTTTGGAGCTATATATAAAGAAAATGTATCTTCTTTTCCTATTCAAAACCATATCAAACAAATGCACAGCAAACATGTTGGGCATACCTCACAAGTCCATACAAATAGGGAACAAAGGCTGAATATTCACACTGGGCATATTTGGGCAAACAAGCACAAAATGTGTATGCAGCAAGCAGTGAGGGACCCAGTAGAAGTGTCCAGCTAAAAAGGGGTCAAAACATGCTGAAATAAGCCATATAATACAGAACAAACATGTGCCACAAACCAGGAGCCAGAAATGAGCCAAATAATACAGAACAGACATGTGCCACAAACTAGGTATGCACAGCAAATGAGGAAGAAAATACAGATAAAAACATGTGACACAAGCCAAACATGAAAGTGCATTAACTGTTAAGACAAATGAGGACGTTGAAAGGCTCACCTTGTGCTCCACCAGATCCAACAAGTTTGGCTTTTCTTCTGCTGAGCTCTCCTCTGCCATCCCTCATTTCTGCTGGGGGCCTTGAGAAATGTGCATTGGAAAGGAAGTCCCGCCCGCTGGATATGATGACACCTGCAGTAAATCACCACACTGTTTCATAAGATATATATCACAAAAACACGGCACGCATGTGGTATTTTAGTAGCATTTTTTTGTGAATGCCAAAAAATACTTCGAAAAATGCTGAGCCTTTTTTGTGGTAGATACCGCTTCATGAAATGTCTAGGGTTGCCATTTCATCCCTTTAAACCCGAACACATATTATTTACACAGGTTCTGAGGCTAATTTAATGCAGACAAGTCACTAAGAGAGTTTAATTACCACCTTAATCAGCCACAGAACCTGTGTAATTAATATGTGTTTGGGTTTAAAGGGATGAGGTGGCAACCCAACCAATGTCACATAATGTAAAAATCCCATCCAGGGGTTGCAGAACAATTTTCAAACCTAGAGTAACCACAGTGGTTGCCACAAACGCCCGGAATTATAGGCAGTTCAGTTATGACAACAAGATACCAGGGTGTTACATATTGTGGTAGCCCCATCCAGGGTTTTTTAGTACTGTCTGTGTCCCTGCTCATTAGATGGAGTTGTCACCAGAACAGGAATAGAGGTAATATCTTCCAGTTGGGAAACTTGTTCTTGTGACAAGTAACTGAGAGAGATTTCACACTCTTTGGTGTATTTTCTTCTCACTTTCTGATGTGTTTACTTTGAATTGTCACTGTAAAAGATTAAAAGTGAAATCTTCCAGTAGGTAATTTTTTTCTAATGCCCCTTACATTGAAGAGATTTCCTCTCATGTCCTGTTGTGTATTTGGGACTGGAAGTGAAGGTAACTTTCCCAAATGGGAGATAGCTAAAAACACCAGACAGGTTTAATTAATTTTCTATTCTACAACTAAAAAAAGAGTTTTGGCTTTGTATATACTTTAACACTCTAAGCCTTGGTTCACATATGTGTGGGGCCAGTTTGTAGTGCAATTTTAAGCCCTGTCCAGTGCAGGTTCAGGTGCAATTCCAATGCAAATTGTTACAGTGTATGATATTGGAAATTGCATCTGAACCAGGCTGAAAGTCGTACCAGACTCTTTGAAAAGGCACTGCAGCCGGCCCGCACATATGTGAACCGGCTCCATAGAAAAGCCAAAGCGCATCCAATTTGCATATATGTGAACTGGGGCTAACCTTTTCTGCCATGGTAGACAAATGCTATGCTCAAAAGTAATTTTGTGTTTATGTTTTTGGCAGATATTGGTGATGTTTCGTAATCCAAAGGATACAGCTGTATCACTATTTCACTTCTACAATAACAATCCTATGCTCCCCAACTACAATAGCTTTGATGAATTTTTCTCTGACTTCATGAGTGGAAAAGGTAGTGTGCTAAAAATTCTGACCATACTCATTTCCTTTTTATTTGACTTTGCACTCCTGTTTTACTTTCTAATTTTCATATGATATAAAAGGGATGATGTTCTTGGTAGTATGCGTGTGTATGGGGGTTGTTCTGGAAAGAGAAATAACAGTGTGTGGGGGAAGGGAAAAGGGAAAAAGGTCCTGTAAAAGGCAGTTGGGGAGGGAGGGGATGGAGAATGTCCCTAGAAATGGCATTGTGAGGCAGAAAGATATCCCTAGAATGTGAAGTGAAATCTCCCAGGGAGCTACAGTGTGTGAATATGTCTCTGGAATTAGTAGTTTTGGAGGTAGGGGGTTGTCCATTTAGATGAAAGTGTGTGTAACTGTTTCCCCTGGAGGAGCGGCTTGTTAAATGGGTCTCTCTGTTTCCTTCAGTGAGGAGCTGATTAGCAGCTCAGGTGAGATAGTCAGAGGGGTCAAATTCTGGTCAGAACTGAGAGACTCTGCAGGCCAGCCCCTCTGGAATTTCCCCCTGCTCTGAGGATTTCAGAGAAGGGCTTTGGAGGCAGTGGGTGGATCTGAGGAATGGTTGGCTGCACTTTTGAGGAACCTTGGCAAATCCCCAACAGAAGGCTTGGCAAGGGGCTGGGCTCCCTTAAAAGTGCTGGAGCCTGCTCAGTAGCAGGAGTCGGGTGGAAGAATGAGTAGGAAGATGTGAGGATAGAGAAGGAGGCTGCCAGGAGGCCTAGTGGGATGGGGCCTGCTGCGAGACTGGAACTGGAAAGGAGGAAAACTCAGGACTCACTGGCCAACTGAAAGAGGACCACTTGTATGGCAGGGAAGGAGCAGCCCAGCTGATTGGCCTGGTAGCAGCAGCCACCCCGCAAGTAGTACAGGAGAGGATCTGAGTGAGTACACCTGCACCACCTGGGCAGATAGGGGAAGGAGCACTCCGATGTGAAACCAGATTATCCCTCTGCTAGTGACTGTTACCCATTTAAAGGAATAGGAGCCAGATCCCCTGCTCAGGAAGAAAGTCTCCAGATTGCTGGGTGAGGAGGAGTTCATCTACGGTCTGGGGTAGTGCATCTAGAGCTGCTGTCTAGCACTCCAACAGAGACTGTGTCAAAGAAAAGAAGCTGTGAATAGTTCAGGAAGTTGTCCTCAGATTGTGGTTCCCTTGGGCATCCTATGCATCCCTTACCCTATCCAAGTTTAATCCCTTCAATAAAATAACAAAACAAGGACTGATTTCTGTCTACGGATGAAAGCTTGTGTGTAAAATGCTTACTGGCCGGCTGTGCAGGACTATAGGGGGACCCAAATGCATCAGCAATCACCAAGGGGGTATTGCTACATGAGTAACAGTAAATTATATTGATTATTCTCAGTAACATGTGAGATACAGTACATTAGGATATACACATACACATATCATAAACACACAAAATGGTAGATTAGAAATATGCCAGAAAATATTGTGTTCTGTAAATTTTATAGGTAGGCAACACTTATCCTCATATTGATCATTGTTTCCAAATTAATAATTACTGCAGTAAAAAGCAGACACAAAAAGATACACTCAACAACTTTCCAAATCACTGCTCGGTTTATTCAGCGCAATTGAAAGTTTTTATACACATGCTTACGTAGGAATCACAATAATTATTGCATTTTTTTTTATTTTATTGATTTCAGATAGTTATATAGCTCTGTCAATTTACACAGTGCTTTACATATATATTGTACATTCACATCAGCCTCTAACCCTCAAAGGGGTGTAAAATCTAAGGTCCCTAACTTACATTCATACATATACGAGGGACAATTTAGACAGCATCAAATGAACCTACTAGCATGTCTTTAGAGTATGGAAGGAAACCCACACAGGCACAGGGAGAATATGCAAACTCCAGACAGGTGGTGCTGTGGCTGGGACTCAAACCAACGACCCTTGGACTGCTAGGTGGAAGTACTAACCATTTAGCCACTGTGCTGCCCATACATAATTGTACTTTTAAGGTAGCAAGCGGTGTTACTTAGACAGGCTAATTTCTTATTGGGACTCAAAAGAATGCAAATACGTCCTCAAAACATTATTAGTGCCGTGTGCACAAAGAGTGCAGGGTACAATACATAAGCAAAGTACACAACATAGAATACAGTTATATATGGAATTTACAATTTCTTTTTCAATTGTAACTGACTTGACTAACTAAATATATAGAAGGCACTATTTTCACCAGTGGCCACACCACTTGGGGCCCTTAAAGTTCAAGTATGGCTTTTTTTTTTGCATAGTTACATTGGCCCAGCCTGGACCACTGTAGGTTGATATACATATTCCATACCTGACTGATTCCTGCGGAAGTGGAGACTCACTGTTGAAGCTGCCACTACTGCAGTGATCTTCGCTGTCTTCCCCACTACTAGCTACTGGAGTAATCTGTGTACCATTTGCATGTTCAAGGTCTCTAAGCTCCATAGCACTTCTTAAGTGTAAGTTCCCTAGCAAAATTATTCTCATCTACCAATGTAATTAAAAAAACTCTAAAAGTAACATGATAGTACAAAATTTTTTCTCCACTATAGGTGGCACTCTGGAAGGGCAATGCAGCAACTGGAGGAAGAAGTCAAGGGAAACTAGGTTTCACTATAATTCCCTCGGTTCCCTGGAGTAGCTTTCCGGTTGGCTACGCTGGTTCCAGGTGACCATGGTGGCCATCTTGGGCCATGCAGAGCCATTTTAAGTCCCTGCCCTTGGGGTTTTGGCAAGCATTTGCAAAGTAGCTAGTGCAGGGAAAGCACACCCCTCTGCCAGGGACAACACTAAAGGCAGGAAGAAGTTCCGGAGGAATAGGGAAAGCTTAGGGTCTTCGTCTCAACATCAGAAAGCTCCCCAGTTGGGTTTGACTGGCCAGGCCACACTCTGCTCCCCTTGGCAGGGCAGGTTTTCAGTTCGGGCCTACTCACTACTTACTCTCCGCTTCATTGGTTGTAAGTTACCGGTCAGGTAGGCTTCGCCGCCAGGCTGTTGTACTATTTATGTTCAGCAATACATTGTTTCTGGCATTCTGAGCCTCTGCGTGATTACTTCCACTGCAGCATGCTGCTCCTACCCCACAAGCATATTAAGAACAGTGTTCAATTTCTCATCTATAGTTATGAGACATTTAGTCCCTTTAAACCTGTCCAGTTCACTTTGAACTCTCTGCATTTCCATATGGGACTTATTCAAGCCGGATTGTAGCTAACAATCAATCTCATCAATTTAAAAATGAGGCATCGCTAAGTACTGAGGTCCACTCTTCTGTAAACTTTTATCCATTACCTCAAATGAGGAAAATTATTGAAATGAGGTTGGGAGCGGCAGACCTATGCAATGCTCTGGAACATAGAGATCACAGTATTTTAAAGATTAATGCTTCAAATTTTCTTTTTGAATTATCCTAATTTTTTTTTATTTTTTTTACACTGGTCAAATGTTATATCACCCCTGGGTACTATCTTCACAGTGATCTCCAGGACCTCAGACAAGAGTCTATAATAGCATGGCACCTGGAATTGATTTCTGTCTAATGCAATCAAATAGAAAGTGTGTGTACTAATTACACCCAAGCATTGGAGGATTTAATAGGATCAGTCAAGTTAATAAAAAGATTCTAAGCACATATCATCTCTTCTAAGGAGAATACTTGGTTATTTGTTTTTGTAATTATATACATTATTATTTCTGAGGAAATATTGTAATCACTTTCTTTTGTTTTTTCTTTTTCAGTTATCTGGGGTTCTTACTTTGACCATGCTGTTGCTTGGAATAAACAGCTTGACTCAGACACTGTTTTGTTGATGACTTATGAAGATATGAAAGAGGTAGGTGAACATTTTGCAATATATCCACTAAAAGCTTAGCCATTGCTGAGGCTTCAACTGAAATGACCATCAATACTTAAAGTGAAAGTCAAAGTTCCATTAATTACCTAACACTAAACCTACTCCCATCCCCATTCTAAAGCTATTCAATTTAACCATGTAAGAAAAAGATCGCTATATTTACCTAATCTTAAGCCACTCAAGTCCAGTCCAAGGCTGAGCTGTCAGCGGCGACTTCTGTGTGCAGGAGAGGCAGCTGTCAATGGTCAATGGATGCCCCATAGTAAGTCATTGGATGACATCATTTCCTAGGTATTTTCAGCCATTTTAAGCTTTCCCCGGGACCAGAGCAGCTTCAGAATAGGTAAGTATAGCAGTCTCTTCTTTACAGGGTTAGATAGAATAACTTTAGAATGGGGGTGGGAGTAGGTTTAATGTTAGGTAATGGCTGGAATGCTACTTTAATATGTTTACTAAGATTAAGCTATTGCTCTGAAAAATCATAGTGGATGGGTTCCTGACCTCTATCTAGGACTGCATTTGGACATCACACTATTAGTTTCTCCTTCTTATGCCATGTATTTATTTTGGTAACAATAATGTTACAATGCATGTTTAATGCTGTATGTTGTCTTTTAAATTGAAGAACTATGTTTCAAATGTACAGACTACCAAACAAGAGAAAAGGATAGGTGGTTTTATTCTCCTTCAACTATAAAGAGGCTTCTAACATCTCTTAACATCCCCTGCTCAGCTTTTCCCCTTTAATTCTTTTTCTAAATTTAGCCATAAATATTAACAGAAAAGGGTAACAAATCAGGTTAAAAAATGATCAAGGATTATAAATGTTGAGGCTTCATGCTAATCTGCTGCCCTTATAAATATAAATAAACAGCGCAAATTTAGATGATTAATCAATATAATAAATCATATAAAATAAGTGCATAAATTATTCGTGTTTGCCCTTAATCTTAAACAAAAACACCCAAAAGTCCATGTGCTGAAAACATAATTAAATTGTTGAAATAAAAGTGCAAACTTCTTTTCTTCAGAAAATACTTTCACCTTCCACCCGTGCACAAACCAACATCGAATACACTCACCAGAACTTGGTGAGTAAAAGACCTTTAAGGAATTTTTAGGGATCCTAAACCCTCTTTGGTGCCACGCTAGGGAAAATCTTCACCCTCCGAATAGACTCCACCATCCAACCAAAAGAAAAAAACTCACATAGCATAATATTGTCACACAATAGTAACTTTTTCCAAATGGAGATTAAGGCCACTCACATGTTAAACACTTGCTAAAGGCATGTTTATTATGTATAAAAGGCTTCAGTTCCAGCAGATATACAAAGTTTTCCTTCCAGGACTCTCACATCCACAGTGGAACAACGACAGGACTCCTCTTAGACCAAACAGTGAACCAAGATGGCCGCTGGAACGCACCGCTCAGCGTGCGTTCCACTAACCGGAAATTACGTCAGGCGCATGGAGTGTGGACCGGAAATGCGTCAACGCGTTTCGCCCCTTCACCTCAAGCTTGATAACGCCCTATGGGAGGGGCAAAACGCGTTGACGCATTTCCGGTCCACACTCCATGCGCCTGACGTCATTTCCGGTGAGTGGAACGCACGCTGAGCGGTGCGTTCCAGCGGCCATCTTGGTTCACTGTTTGGTCTAAGAGGAGTCCTGTCGTTGTTCCACTGTGGATGTGAGAGTCCTGGAAGGAAAACTTTGTATATCTGCTGGAACTGAAGCCTTTTATACATAATAAACATGCCTTTAGCAAGTGTTTAACATGTGAGTGGCCTTTAATCTCCATTTGGAAAAAGTTACTATTGTGTGATAATATTATGCTATGTGAGTTTTTTTCTTTTGGTTGAATGGTGGAGTCTATTCGGAGGGTGAAGATTTTCCCTAGCGTGGCACCAAAGAGGGTTTAGGATCCCTAAAAATTCCTTAAAGGTCTTTTACTCACCAAGTTCTGGTGAGTGTATTCGATGTTGGTTTGTGCACGGGTGGAAGGTGAAAGTATTTTCTGAAGAAAAGAAGTTTGCACTTTTATTTCAACAATTTAATTATGTTTTCAGCACATGGACTTTTGGGTGTTTTTGTTTAAGATTAAGGGCAAACACAAATAATTTATGCACTTATTTTTTATGATTTATTATATTGATTAATCATCTAAATTTGCGCTGTTTATTTATATTTATATTGTTTGTGTTTTTCACGATTGGCACAGCAGCATTTTTAGAGTGTTATTTGGAAAGTTTTGGCGCAGGAATAAGTTTTTTTGTATAAACATAATCTGCTGCCCTATATACACTGGCCCATGATTGTCATCATGGTATTATAGCCCTGCCTGCTCATAGGTAGCGCAGAATTGAAATCATGACTCTTCTGAAACCATTATTGTGATGTTTTGAGTTATGGCAGGCACTTTTTAAAGTATGTAGTGTACTTATCATTATCGATAATGTCAAATATTAAGAGAATATCATTAATTAACTCCTTACTTTACTTCCTAAAATACTATACATATAGGATCTAGAGGGATCAATTAAGAAGATTTCAGATTTTTTTTCTATGCCTCTCACTGAAGAGCAAGTTAAGGCCATTGCTGATAAAGGGACATTTAAGTCTATGAAGGAAAATTCCAAAAATACACATGGTGAAATTGGCAACGCTATCTTTCGAAAAGGTAAGAAAATTACATATATTGTATAATGTATCATATTTTAAACCAAGTGTAACTGGGTGGATTGGTAAACCTAAATCATCGCCTTCTATCATCTCCTTTGATACTTCTTTTTTGCCTTCTTTAATATTTGGGACGTGGAGAGCTACTGTAAGAAGGTGACTCCTCTGCAGTGATTGAAGAGGTTGATAACAGCAATATTTGAAAGGCAAAAGAAACCTAATTGGAACTGTCCCCAACCTCAATAAAAAAGAACAATGTGATTCATGATATTACAGTGCAAAGTACAACATGGAAAAACAGTACAGTAACTCTACTTTAGAACAATTGCTTTTTTTTAGATAGTATCTGTATTGTATGACCAAATTATTTAATGCAGTATACAGTGTATATTTCACTCAGATAGTCTAGACCACTGACACTAATCCACAGCGTTAAAGTGATATTCAACTCTTGTTGGCGAAAAACCTCCTCAGGTAATTTACTGTATATTCTATAGATAGCAAGAATTTTTGCCAAATTATTTACAGAGGTTTTTTTGCTGCTTTCTGCTAAAACTTACACAGCCATTCTGACCACATCCCACTTTCTAGGTTCAAATCACATGCTTGGTTCTAGTTTTGTAATAAAGGAGAAAATGGTGGGAATATCAGAGAGAAAATTACATATGCAGATTTCTAGGGGTGTCCTGTGCCCAAACAGTGAATAAAACACTCTCAGTTATGAAACAAAGGAAACAAAACGTTAATTTCTTGGCAATTAAGAAAATCATGGCGAGTTGTAGAATGGAAAAATATGATTTTTGTACCCATCACAAAATAATTTTCTCTGTGTTCATTGGAGAACGCAGCTCTATATTGGATAATCTCCTAGTAAATATATTGCAACTTGCAGGAATTGGAAAGTAGGTGCATGTAAAAAGAAGGATATCCCAGGGGGCAGCTCCTGCTGGTGGCCCAAACCACCTCCACACCTGTGGGCACTCAGTTACACAGCATAGCAGTGCAAATAAAAAGAACAAAAGTATTTACATATGTGGCAAGCCAGAGGAGTGGGTGCTGTGTCCTAGAATGAATGCATAGAAAAAGATTTTATAATGAATAAAAAACTTCCTTTTCCTTCAATGGAGAACACAGCTCAGCTTATAGAAAAAAATGATACAGGTCAGTTAAACTGCTGCCTGCAAAACTTAATGGTGGGAAGTATAGGATGCATTTTCCTCCTCGTAGAATGTGCTGTTATAAAAAACTGTGGTATCAGGGAACAAGAAGATCGCCGCAGTGCATGAATCTGTGCAGGCGTAGGATCCCGACAAGGCATACAGGCAGGCGGGCACTAGGACCCAGGCGCGACTGTCACCAATGACAGCACCAGGCAGGCACTAGGACCCAGGCACGCCTGTCGGTGCTGGGCAGGCTATTTAAAGAGCACCTTGGTGCTGATTCAGTGCTGACTGGTCTTCAGCTCCCCCAGTGTCCTGCTTGTTTCCTGTGCGATTCCTTTGGTGCTGACCCGGCTTGTTCCTGACCCGACTCTGAGTTCTCTTCTGTCCCCCGGTTCCTGACTTCGGCTCTGTTCCTGACTTTGGCATTTTCCTCCTGATCCTGTACCGCGCTGCCCGACTGTTATGACCCTGGCTATCCTACGACTCTGCTCCAGTCCTGTGTCCTGGCTGCAAACATGGCTCTGCTGTGCATCTGACAATCCACTGTACCTGCCTGGTCTATTTCTACAGTATCCGAATCAGTGGATATCCTGCTTACCAAGGTCATCATCTGCAAGAGCTGCAAGCAAAACCCTGGTGCTCTTGTCCCCCTGGTCCTTGGACGCCCTCTGTTCCAACCTCAGCGGGCTCAGGATTAGTGACACAAGTGAGGCCGACCTCGTCAATTCAGTCTCCCATCAGGTACGTGACAGGTGGTTGTTGGTGCTTGATGGCTTACACTTGTCCAATGGTTGCCAGATCCAGCATGAGATCATAACAGTCAAAACTGCAATGCCCTTACTTGGTCCCTCTACTACCACTAACAGGGGTTTGTCCTACAAAACCTGGTTATGGCATTTAAATACACTGTAATTTAACTGAATCTACCGATGAAGTGTAAGGCCATTCCCTTAGGTTCGACTGGTTTGGAACACAAGAATGGAAGCACAATGTCCTCATTTGAGTGGAAAGCTGACACCACTTTCAGAAAAAGGTGATGCTTGAAAGACAACATTATCCTTATGCAGCACCAAATAAGTAGACTTGCAGGACAATGCCACCAGTTTAGATACTCTGCATGCCAAAAGTGATGCCACTAGAAAATCAACTTTCACAGTTCAAGCAATGTTGAGACAATGTCAGCAGCAAGATAAATTTGATGTTCTTGAAGGGCAGTTTTTGCAAAATGGACAATACTCGATTTAGGTTCTACAGTGAGAACAGTGGTCTTGCAGGAGTGATGACGTGCCTAACTCCTTGAAAGAAAGTGAGGACAAGAGGCAGCATGCCAGCAGATGTTGGAATGAAACTGCCAACACTGACACCTGACCCTTAATGGTGCTTACAACACTGCTCCACCCCACACTGCAGAAAGGACAGTAGACAGGCTTCTATAAAAGAATGTTGACTCCATTAGATTGAAACCATGCAAAATACTCCTATGTATGATGGTACAAATAACTTCACTTGACAACTCTCTATCTTTCAGTATTTGGCTTTCAACAGCCAAGAAGTTAAAGTCAGCAAATGTAAAACAGGGTGGTGAATGGGGCCTTGTAATAGCAGGTCTTGTTGCAGTAGTAGACATCAGGAAGAAACCACTATCAGACTAATGAAATCCACACTTTATCACCTGTGGGTTCAATCTGGAGCCACCATGGCCATCAAAATCTACTAAATAAGTTCTATCTGATGTAGTATTTTGGCAACAGCTTCACCAGCCGATAAGCATAAATCAGAATAAAGTGGTACCATGGAGCTAACAATGTGGCTGCCATGTCTATGCAGGGGTCCTTTTACCTTGCTATGAACCTGTCCAGCTTTCAACTGAAATGCAAAACCAGCAGATCTACATCTGACATCTCCAGTCTTCGGCAGATCTATTGGAAGACCTGTGGATGCAATCTCCAGCATGTGAGTTTCTTACTAAATTAGGATCTGGGATACTTACAGTGCTGCTGTCATGATCTTGGTTGCCCTCAATGGTTTACATGCAGCATGGCTGTGAAATTTCCTGATTGCTGCTTGTACACTGCAGCCCTCCAGGAGGTGCCTTTAGCATGGCAGAGTTCATCTGATCACTTGAAGTTCCAGCACATTGATGGGAAGCAATGACTCTACTGGCCTACAAGACCCCTAAATGAACTGGAGGTTTAATAATCCTTCCCAGATGTGCAGGCTAGCATCTGTTGTTACTACTATTTTCCTATGCAGATTGAAAAACAACTTGACAGCTAGTAGCAGTGAAACGTGGAGCCACAAAAATGGTAATGGTTTTGTCAGGTGACTTACCTTGATCTCTCTTTCCAGTGATGGAAGAGATTTGTTCCATTGCAACAGCAATTCATGCTAAAACGATACCATAAGACTAAGAAACTGGATGCATTTGGTTATGGCTGACCACTTGCAAGTATGAAATAAGCTTTTCCCCGAACATGTAGCTTTTGTAATTTTTCTGACTTGAAGAAAAATCTTGGCCTGGCTGGTATCCAAGATCAGCCTCAAATATTCCAGGTGACGTGATGAAAACAGCAAGAATTTCTGTAGGTTCAAGAGATCTACCCAAATTTCTCCAGAGTCGGAATGGTAATGGATAGGCTAAGCTTCAGTTCTGAACTAGACTTCAACCACTATAGGGGGTCATCCAGTTTTTTCCATGATCGGTATACTTTTCGAGCTGAAGGCAGGTAAACTGGCACCAACAATTTGGCATCCATAGATCCATAGCTAGTCTGAAAGGCAAACGCTGTAGTTTGATAGTGCTCTGCCCGTATAACTAAATGCAATATCAACTGGTACCTCTGGTAATTGGGTACTCTAAGGTATACATCCTTGATATCTATACATTGCATGCCAGGAACTTCCCCTGATGCAGGGCCACCACTACTGACTGAATTGACTCCATCTTGAATTTCCATTTTTGACTTAAATATTCAGGCCTCTGAGATCCAGAACCGTAAAACCTTAGAAACCTTTCAGTAGGTATTGGGATCACCCCAGTCTCTGAGTCAGGAGTTCATCAAAGATCAGATGCAAGTCAATTAAGTTCTGAGGAGACAGGCACAGGATGGAGGGAAAAAAATGTATTTTATTTTCCATAAAAAATTTGTGAACCTGTCTGTCCAACACATGGTCTAGCCCAGCAATGGGCAAACTACGGCCCGCGGGCCGTATACTGCCTGGCGGACCTTTTAATCCGGCCCGCGGAGCGTGGCAAACATCGGCTGTCAGAATGTGTGTAGGTGGGGCAGCGTGAGGAACGTGAGGGGAGCTAGGCTCCTCTCACAGTCCGCCCTGAAGACCGGAACAGCGCGGGAACACGGCGAGAGGAACGCGCGGAGCAAAGGTAAGTGAATTGACACAGGGGGGACTTGGGGACTTAATATGGGGGATGAATTACTATAGGGGGGATGAATTACTATATGGGGGATGAATTATTATGGGGGATGAATTACTATATGGGGGGATGAATTACTATGGGGGATGAATTACTATATGGGGGATGAATTACTATGGGGGATGAATTACTATGGGGGATGAATTACTATATGGGGGATGAATTACTATATGGGGGATGAATTACTATGGGGGATGAATTACTATATGGGGGACGAATTACTATGGGGGATGAATTACTATATGGGGGATGAATTACTATGGGGGATGAATTACTATGGGGGATGAATTACTATATGGGGGATGAATTACTATGGGGGATGAATTACTATATGGGGGATGAATTACTATATGGGGGATGAATTACTATGGGGGATGAATTACTATATGGGGGATGAATTACTATGGGGGATGAATTACTATATGGGGGATGAATTACTATGGGGGATGAATTACTATATGGGGGATGAATTACTATGGGGGATGAATTACTATATGGGGAATGAATTACTATGGGGGATGAATTACTATATGGGGGATGAATTACTATATGGGGGATGAATTACTATATGGGGGATGAATTACTATATGGGGGATTAATTACTATGCTTACTTTGGGGGAATATTACTATACTTACTATGGATGACACATACACATCATTCATCTACTCTTGGTCCGGCCCCCGGGTCCAATATATGAACCCATTGCGGCCTTCAAGTCAAAAAGTTTGCCCACCCCTGGTCTAGCCAGTAGTTCAAAAATGCAAGAATCATCCCCCCACCTCGAGCTGGGCTTGTGAAGGAGGTAGCAGGCTTCTCTGCAGACTTAACAGGCTTATATTAAAGTTAGAATAGCTCAATGTTTCTTACTGGGGTAACTTGAAGAATCCTCATGGATGCCACAGAAAAGGTAAAAAAAAACTTTCAATCCTGTACATTTGAACCTGAGAGCAATCCTATATTAACTCTAAAAGAGAGGAGGGAGAGAGCGCAGATAAACTTGTAAAATGTATAAATTATGGACATATTGTGAGATGTATAGTTCATACTGTGCAACATGATCTATATCTGTGTCCCTTTTCCATCTAACATTAACACTTTATCGCTTTAATAACACAATAGTAGAAATGTAGTATTCTGTTTTATTCAGCCCCAGAAATCTTCATTTAAACTTGAACAATATATATATATTTTTGTTATATTTTATTTATTTCTAGGAGATGTTGGAGACTGGAAAAATTATTTTTCAGAAGCTCAAAGTGAAGAAATGGATGCTGAATTTGAAAAGAGCTTGGCAGGAACAAAACTTGGAGAAGTTCTGAAGTACAACATATATTGTAAAGGGTGACAAGACAGGACTATGAGATAATATTTGTTTTAGGGCCGGTTCACACTATAAAAACACAGTCCGGATGAGTTTCTGCATGTGTGTTTTTGACACGTTTTTGGCATGTTACAGTGCATTTTTAATGCATTTTTTATGCTTTCCAGTTCATTTTTCCCCCTCTTTCTTCAATTGAAATAGGGACATGTGCATTCCAGTGCGTTTTTGGTGCATTCCAGTGCATTCCGGTGCTTTTTACTGCGTTCCAGCACAGTTCTGTGCAGAAAAAGTGCAGCATGTTCCACTTTTTATTCTGGAATGCACTGGAACTGCAAGCACCGATGTGAACTATAACATTGACAACCATACAGTGGGGATCGAAAGTTTGGGCACCCCAGCTAAAAATTTGCATTAATGTGCATAAAGAAGCCAAGGAAAGATGGAAAAATCTCCAAAAGGCATCAAATTACAGATTAGACATTCTTATAATATGTCAACAAAAGTTAGATTTTATTTCCATCATTTACACTTTCAAAATAACAGAAAACAAAAAAATGGCGTCTGCAAAAGTTTGGGCACCCTGCAGAATGTATAGCATGCACTGCCCCCTTTGCAAAGCGGAGACCTGCCAGTGTCATGGATTGTTCTCAATCATCGTCTGGGAAGACCAGGTGATGTCAATCTCAAAGGTTTTAAATGCCCAGACTCATCTGACCTTGCCCCAACAATCAGCACCATGGGTTCTTCTAAGCAGTTGTCTAGAAAACTGAAACTGAAAATAGTTGACGCTCACAAAGCTGGAGAAGGCTATAAGAAGATAGCAAAGCATTTTCAGATGTCAATATCCTCTGTTCGGAATGTAATTAAGAAATGGCAGTCATCAGGAACAGTGGAAGTTAAAGCAAGATCTGGAAGACCAAGAAAAATATCAGACAGAACAGCTCGCAGGATTGTGAGAAAAACAATTCAAAACCCACGTTTGACTGCACGATCCCTCCAGAAAGATCTGGCAGACACTGGAGTTGTGGTACACTATTCCACTATAAAGAGATACTTGTACAAATATGGTCTTCATGGAAGAGTCATCAGAAGAAAACCTCTTCTACGTCCTCACCACAAAAATCATCGTTTGAACTTTGAAAATGAACATATAGACAAGCCTGATGCATTTTGGAAACAAGTTCTGTGGACCGATGATGTTAAAATTGAACTTTTTGGTCGGAATGAGTAAAGGTACGTTTGGAGAAGAAGGGGCACAGAATTTAATGAAAAGAACCTCTGTCCAACTGTTAAGCATGGGGTTGGATCAATCATGCTTTGGGATTGTGTTGCAGCCAGTGGCACAGGGAACATCTCACGAGTAGAAGGAAAAATGGATTCAATAAAATTTCAGCAAATTTTGGATGGTAACTTGATGCCATCTGTGAAAAAGCTGAAGTTAAAGAGAGGATGACTTCTACAAATGGATAATGATCCTAAACACACCTCGAAATCCACGGGGGATTACATCAAGAGGCGTAAACTGAAGGTTTTGCCATGGCCTTCACAATCTCCTGACCTCAACATAATTGAAAATCTATGGATAGACCTTAAAAGAGCAGTGCGTGACAGACAGCCCAGAAATCTCAAAGAACTGGAAGACTTTTGTAAGGAAGAATGGGCAAAGATAACTCAAACAAGAATTGAAAGACTCTTGGCTGGCTACAAAAAGCGTTTACAAGCTGTGATAATTGCCAAAGGGGGCTGTACAAGATATTAACTGTGCAGGGTGCCCAAACTTTTGCAGACGCCATTTTTTTTGTTTTCTGTTATTTTGAAAGTGTAAATGATGGAAATAAAATCTAACTTTTGTTGACATATTATAAGAATGTCTAATCTGTAATTTGATGCCTTTTGGAGATTTTTTCATCTTTCCTTGGCTTCTTTATGCACATTAATACAAATTTTTAGCTGGGGTGCCCAAACTTTCGATCCCCACTGTATAACCTACTTTCTGTACGTTTTTGGATACAAAAAAAAAGCAACTGACACGCATGCAGTGTGAACTGGCCCTTATAGGTATATAATCAATATATGTACAAAATCAAGTCAATAATGTTGGTGTTGTGTTTTTTTGTTACTGAGCCATCAAAGCAAAGCAATATGAGTAAAGCTACAAAATATTAATAATAAGCTAAGAAATAGTTCTTTAAGTTCAGCTTTGGGAACATGTTACATGTTCCACCTGTTTTTAGGATGGAACATGTAACATGTTCCCATAGACACAGCCACCGACCCCCACCACCCTCTGACAGATAATATGGGGAGAAGTTTCCCTGTACTATCTGTCAAATTTGAAAACAGTACAGCCGTGCAGGGCTCCGCCCACATGGCCACATCATTCATTTACAGACTTCTGTGAATGAATGAACTGCAAGTCCCGACAGCCTTAGCGGCTCTCAGCTTGTAGTTTTCAATGAACTACCATGGCACTGTGGAGTGCCACGGTAGTTCATTGAAGCTTCCTGTCAGAATATCTGCTTGCTCGTACATCCCATATGGCAAGGAGACATTCTGACAGGTCTTCAGGAGACCCACATGTCATCAGAAATCTACTGATCGTTGGTGCAATGCTTTCCAGGCTCCTTTGGACAAAAAATAATAAATGTACTTTTTTTTAACCTGCAAAAAAATGTGCATTTATTATTTTTGTCCTAGGCTACATTCAATGTGTTTTTAAGTGGTTTTTGCAGAAATGCACTACAGTCTAGTTAACATGGTTTCCTATGAAACATGTTCACATCTATGCTTTTTTGAGCTGCTACATTTTTGAAAAGGGTCAGGGACTTTTTTAAAAGCAAAAAGCAGAGCTCTTGCTACAATAGATTTCAATGGAGAATCTGCTGAAATGCATTGTAGTGTGTTTTTGCCACGTTTTGCATTTTTATGTTTACATATTCTCCCTGGGTTTCCTCCGGGTACTCTGGTGTCCTCCCACACCCCAAAGACATACTGGTAGGTTAATTGGCTCCTGTCTAAATTGGCCTTGTATGTGTATGTATGAATGTGAGTTAGGGGCCTTAGATTGTACGCCCCTTGGGGGTTAGGAACTGATGTAAATGTACAATACATATATGTAAAGCGCTGCGTAAATTGATGGCGATATATACGTACCTGTAATAAATAAATAAATAAAAAAATATTCTGCCCAGAAAAAAAAAAACTGAACAAAACGTAAAATGCAGTAAAAATGCATCAAAAACGCATCAAAAACACGTGTAGAAAAACGCAAAACAAACTGCAAACAGCACTGGAGAAAGCATCAAATGCAAAATGCATATCTGTGAAAGGAGCCTAAAAGGATGAACGTATCCTTTAACTCCAAAACTGTAATCGCCTTCAACTCCTTTTTATATCAAAGCTCCTCACCAGTAAATCACTGATTGCACTGACTCTGAATTTACGCAGAAATCTTACCACTTTTCCATCAACACTTCAAATAGGCTCTCTCTTCAGAAAACAGTTCAGACTGCTTAGTCAGTAGAGTAACAGATATTGGCAGACCTGAAATCTGTATCCTATATACAGTGTTCCACACCTACTAAATTCAATTACCCCCAAAATATATATGAACTTTGCTTCAAAAAGTTCCTAGTGCCAAAACAACCCAATATAATCATATATTAATATCATAGAATAAATCAATAAAGTGCAAATGGTATAAAAATAAAATGCATCACTAATAAGAATGCATCAGTTGTTAGTCTTAGCCAGGGTTAAACTTAATAGCAAAGGTTCAAATAACAGTGGCTGATAAGACCATGCTGTAGTGAACAGTAAGTCAGTTGTTCCCTCTTGAGTACAGAACTAAACACTTTTGTAATCCATTACATACTTGCCTTTTTTATTTGTATTTTTCCCTAATTTTACTTGTTTTCTATTCTAGTGAAAGAAAACAGGGCATGATAGTGTAGCACTACCCCCTTAGGAGTTGCTGGATGATTTTTGGGCTCCCTGTGGCTCTGGGCCCCTCTATGAAAGCCCATACCCTGCTGATACCACAGTATACTTTTAACTGGATAAATCACCCTCAAAAAGTAAACTCACACACTGATTGGGATGACCTGGTAAAAGATTTATAGCAACTTCAATGTCGCTTGGTAAAGGTTAGTAGTTTGAAGTGGGACTTTAAATATTCCTCAGAGGTTCACAAAGAATTGTTTTTGTACAGGCAAACAAATATATGTATAAAATTAAAAAATTTATTGAGTTAACATATAAAAGGAACCATCCATAGGTACAAACATCTTTCTTAAATAAAAAATGCATCCAATGATGTAGGTCAACACGTTTCGTGGGTGTCCCCCCTTCTTCAGGACCCGAGACATTTTCTTGAAAGTATACATACTTAAATCTGAGAAATCTGTAAAGCAAGTAAAGAGAAAAAAAATAGCAGCGAAGAATGCATTTTAACAAACAAATGATATACATATATCAAAATAAAGACCCTGTTTATATGACATAAAGAGAGCCAGTTAAAATAAAACATGTATATAAGACATATATATTGTCAAACATACAATATAACTATATATTGTACAATGCTCTTACCCCTGAAATAATGGGGATAGAAAATATCTGATGGAAACGATCTTGAATAACAGGTGAAATATATGTGTCACTTATATGTGCTCGCCAGCCCAAGGAAATCACCCCTGAAGACATCAAGGCCCCAAAGATGAAATAGGAATTCTATGGAGTAATCATATAACAACAAAAATAAATATAAAATAAATCATAGGGAACCAAAATCCTGGAAAAAAAAAGATTTGTACATAATACCATTATGTGTCCCTGAGCCACTCAACCACACTATATACATACTCAGTATAAATCAAAAGGAGCTTTCATATAGGATGCAATTATATGGGGTGTTGTCCCAAGAACAGGCAAGAAAAAAAAGGTGTCTACAATGTCTATATATTATCCAATTTTACAGTAATCAACATGCACCCCTAAAAATGATAGGGGGTCTAAAAGGTATA